TATTTGGGTCCATTGCAACGGAGCACCCCTTCCGATCACAGTATAGATTGGCAGCTGCATCCAGCAGTGTCAGTCCGGGCCCTTCGTGGTAAGCCCCGGCAGCTGTATCCAGCAGTGTCAGTCCGGGCCCTTCGTGGTAAGCCCCGGCAGTTGCATCCAGCAGTGTAAGTCCGGGCCCTTCGTGGTAAGCCCCGGCAGCTGTCCAGCAGTGCAAGTCCGGGCCCTTCGTGGTAAGCCCCGGCAGCTGTGACAAGCAACTTTGTGCAATGGCGGCCTTGTTCTTCAAGACTTGGAAGACTGCCGTGTGGACTGGTTTTTTGTTTTGGGGGAGGGATCAAGGATGCAATTTGGACGGGCTTCGGATGCGTCTTCGGCCCTGCAGGATGGCTGATTTCAGCCATTTGGTTGGGGCTCAGCGACCCAAGGCGCTCATCGGGGGCCAGCCGTCGCCCGCCGTGGCGACCTGGCGGCGGGGCATGTTCTACAACATAGCTCGTGACCTCAAAGACAAGCAGTTGCTTGACACGTTGGTTCAATTTGTGTACGGCACTAGAACATCAACGCGCATGGCCTTCTCAGCTCTGTGGAAGGTTGCCTTGGACTTTCTCAAGCTCCAGTCTGAAAGTGCAGTTCACAAGCTGCTCTTGGATCACTATTTGGAAAGCGACTCGCGCGGAGTGTATGAAGCCATATGGAGGAACGCCCCGGACAGGGTGATACCAGGCCTGGGGAGCGGCAGCCAGTGCCAGGAAGCTTGGCATTTCCAGCTGAAGGTGCTTTTCTCCGAGGCTGCGCAGGCTTGGTCAAAGAGTCTCCGTTATTTCTAAGGGGTCAGCCAGGGAGCGGGTTTTGGCGGCAACGCGTGTCTTGTTTTCACCAGCGGAGGCTCTGCAGACCTTCTTGGCTACTCGTGCTGATGTCTTCGCGGGCTCCTCAGCGCCGATGCATATGGTGCCCGGCACAGAGTGGGACCGAGAGCTGATCGCAGGACCTGTGTCCCGCTGTGGCTCCGTTGTGGCATCATTAGCTCACAGAAAGCAGCAAGCCATTGGACGGTAGATTTCAAAAAGCTAGCCCCTGTCTGTTTGCACGATGTGGCAGGACCGCAGCTGCGCGCAGTTGGGCGGACTACAGTCACCGAGTACTTAGATCTGGCAGCATATGTCATTTGGGAGGGCGGCGATGGCGATGACAAGTACGTGGCCACGCGGCGGTCTTTGTACTTCACCAATGAGGAGGGCCAGGCTACGCGCCGTGAGAGGCCGCTCGGCCCATTGAACAAAGGGCTGTGCCAAAAGCTTGCTGAGCTTGCTTGTGCGCAGAGTGAAGCTGATGCAGTGCAGCACTTGCATGGTTTGGGGGCTCAGTTTCCCCTGCATAGTGCCCCTTTGCAGGCCTTGAGGGCCTTCACTAGATTTGCCATTGTGGGCGTTGACAAGCGGGCGGAGGCCTTGTGGAAGCAGGAAGGCGCAGCTGCGTCCCCGCCAGCACGGCACACTCGCGCAGTGTGTTTCTGGTGCTCCCCTTTCGCAATCCGAGGGTGCTGTGAACATACCCTCACGGCCTTGCATGCTTTGAATCTTGAAGACTTTCGGCAATTCTGCCCGCCGAAGCCGCCTGCCAAAAAGAGTGCTCGGAAGGGGGCCAAGGCAGAGGCTGTCCAGGCCATGGAAAAGCCATCGGCAAAGGCAGTGTTGGGAGCTGAGACCTTGTCGCAGGTGCCGAGCACACCTGTCGACAGTGCTCTTGAGCGCGAGATTGCTCGGTCCATTGCAAGTTACCAGTTCTTCGAGCACATGGCAGTCAAGCGACGTGCCAGCCGATTGCCCCGCGTGTGACATATCTTTCAAGACATTTCAAGATTTCACCTTTTTTCCAGAGCAGAGAAAGAGTGCGCAGCCAAGTGCTTGCATGACGAGTTCAGCGTTCATGCATTGCCGAGAGGACCGCTTCAGCCATTTTCTCAGATGCTATCTGGTTCTTGTTTGCTTGCCTGGGCTTTGTGATTCTTTTGAGGGTTGCCGGGGTCCAGAAAGCACCTGCCAATCTAGGGCCATTCTGGTCCGTGCGACTGGGGTACCTGGAGGACCCATAGCGCCGGTTGCATCGAGGGCGCTGATCCATTCCTTGACTTCGTGGTAGAGGCGAGTCAGATCGAGGCCAGGTTTCCTTTAATTTTCAGCGACCTTGAGCAGGCGCTCGACGAGCTAGCTGCAGCCTGGAAAGACACTCTTTTGTCTTTTGGCTTTGGCCACATTCCTGTGGCAGTCATCGCGGCTCAGTACGTGCTGGCTACGCGCGTGTTGCGTCGTGCTATGTCAACAAGACCTGAGACACCGGCAGCGCCTGCTCCAATACCTCCAGCTGAAGACCCACCCGCAGCTCCGCAGTCGCCAGCTTCCGTTGTCAGTGGACTTTGCGAACTGCAGCTCTGGTCGCCTGTGACTGTATCTTCAGCGACGGCCAGCGCCACGCAGGAGCAATGCTTCGTTCGTGATTGAAAATGTTCCTTGAAGCTCGTTGGAATCCTGGAGTGCTTTTTTTGGTGGCGGTTGTGCCAGGACTCCCAGACTTGCAGCCCCATCAATGGCGCAGAGAGCCCTCACGACTTGTCTCGGAAGCGGAGACGCTTGGGCGAGGCACCTTTGCTACAGCGGCATCGTCTGGCGGATGCTGCCGCTGCTGGACAATCTCCAGAAGGCGCTGTCCAATTGATGGCTGCAACAGGGTCCAGCAGGCCTGCCGCAGATGCTTCCGGCTCATCCAGCGCAGCAAGCGTGGCGCCTTTCACTCTGGAGGTGAGCGCTGCACCCGAGGTCATAGTGAGCTCTGCCCCACCACCAAGCCTTCCCGGCGCAGAAGCACATGCCCGCCGAAGAGAGGCCAGCGTGATCTCGCACGAAGTGATCACACGTCAAAGTGCTGGGTGGCACGCAGGAGTGGCATCATGGTCCCAGGAACCCGTCGAGGACCCTTCCGCGTCTGCTGCCCCGAAAGCGAAGGCGCAGCGCCAGCGCCTAGGCTCCAGAAGAGACGCTTTCTTTTATTCATTTTGTTCCCCAAAACCTGCCAGCCAGGTACAAGTGGGGCACCTGTGAGTGTGGCCTTTCAGTGACCCCATGGGTTTACCGCAGTGGAGGAAAAGAAGGTGAGCTCTGGCTTGTATGCCGGGGCTTGTGGAAAAAAACAGCGGAGGGCAAACTCGCTGCTGGCTATCCCAAGAGTTTCCAATGAATAGGTTTTCCGAGCTGGACGAAGTCCTGAAGAGTCGGTATGGAGATCTGCGGAGCGTTTTACTCCGCAATGCCCGCCGCTTGAGGCAATCTTGACGGGCTTTTTGATGTTTGCGCAGAATAAAAAAAGAGCAGCAGAGTGCCGCCATCATGACAGTATGCCACAAGTACCAGTTCTATTTGGGCAACCTGAGCGAGTGCTTTTGACCCACCACCCCGGCCCCACCCATCCAACCATACCTCTTCGTGCCGAGCGTGTGCTAATAACCCCCCCCCCCACCCCCACACCCCCCACCCACCCACCCCACTTATCTCGCCATGTGTGCTTATTGCCCTTCCACCCCCACCCTCTCACCCCTGCCTCTCTTCCGCGTTGCTAGGCTGCACTGACAAGTGATCTGGCCCAAAAACGCGGCCCCCGCCGTACAACAGACACATGGCACACATAGAAAGCATGCAGCCGGAGCATCAGCGCTACCATGACGCACACGCCAGTGAGCCACCCAAAGCCTCCCAAAGTGCTGCGCCTGTCAGTCCAATGGGCCTTGTGCACTCGCAAGTGATCATGAGAGGGTCTCAAATTTTGAAAAAACGTGCGCGCGCGCAAGTGAACCTTAACAGCACGCGTAAGTGATCCACCTGCCCCGAGTTGCGCTATGTCTTGGCAGAAAGCACTGCGAAGTCGCGACAGCAAATGAATACCCTCCATTACCCTCCCATCCACAGGGAACGCACCAGAGGGTCCATTTCAAGGGAACATCGTCTTCCAGGAACCCTCAGTCAGGTTCCATGGATGGGAGGGTAGTTCAGTCTCGGAATCGAAGGATTGTTTGATGGCAATCGCTCCCGCTTTTTCGGGGTGAAGACGTGTTCTCAGAGCTTTTGTCGGATAGAAGGACCCTTTCTGACCAACATGCCGAGCCTCCCGTTGTGTTGGGCGTTTTGATGGTTTCATGGACGACAGGAACACTCTGCGCAGTTCAAAGTCAGATCATATGGATTTGTCGGAGGGACGCACCAGAATAAAGGCGGGAAAATGCAGTCGAACCATCTCGAGGAGAGTATTTCAGGAAGATGACGTGTTCAACGGATTTGATTCAAGAGCAAGAATGTCTACAACATTCCGTTGCTGTTGTTGATTATTGCAGGTTTTTTCGATGGATAAATAGGAGACCTAGCACGTTGGCTTATGTCGTAGGATGAAAGGAATTCATGTTCAGGCTCAGTATGTGAGTGTCTACAGGTTGACTTCTCGATGGATTTGCTGACTCCGTCAGGAGCTCAAACAGCGTTTTTCTCTCGATGAAACAGCTAGCGCCTTGCGATGTCTGGCATGAGCAGTTGCCTTTGCCAGTTGATAGTAGCTATTGGTCCTCAGGCACGCGGGACTTCCAACTGCCCTTCTTCCTACAAGGGGAAACCAAACAAGAGTGACGATTTCCTGCAGGATTGTAGACAGCTTCTTTTTACAACCACTTTCTTTGGTATGAAGGGCATCTCCTTGAAAGTGATAAAGACATCGTCCTAGGGAGTATTACTTACATCCTATTTCCCATCACAATGTCCCACAGTATGCACCGCCAGACTCAACTAACCCTCCTGCTGTTTTGTCTTTGTTCATGTTCCCCTTTTAGCACCGTGTTGTTGTTTTGCAAACTGCCCCAAAAAAATGTGAAGATCACCAACCATAATTTGGGTCGCAACCCATTTTCCAGTTGGGATTTTGAGGGAAGCACTCGGCTTCGGACGGCTTCCGTTCTTGTTCAGGTCTCCACTTTGCTGGAGCCCAGTGGGGTCCTCGGAGTTTTGGAAGGCCGGCGATCTATCAGGGGCCGGGACCTTCCAGGAAATGGTCCCCAAAAGGACTTGAAGAAGGGCCCGAGACCCTGTTCGTGACATAGGGGACCCGGCAAAGAGATAGCTGATAACGTGGATTGGCCTAAAAGGAACTCAAAAAGGAACTCAAGAAAGCCCCTAGACCCTATTCATGTTTCTTGTTGCGCCTATCGGGATCAGCCTCTTGGGCCCGTGACAACCATTGGATAATCCATTCGATGTTGGGGAGTTTTGCAAAAGGGGGAATTTCCTCAAAAGGTGGGTATTGACAGGGAAACCGAAGGGGCACTATGGCCTACCTACCAATGGCCTTGCCCCAATTCAGATATAATCCTGCCAGTCTAGCATTTCACAACATTTGTTCAACATAATTCATAACAGAACCTCAACTCAAGATTTAATACATAGATTTTACAAATAGTTTTTCAAATTTTCAATATATAATTTTCCAAATTTATAAAATTTCCAAATCAAACATTGGCATACATGTTGCAATAATTTAATTGTAATATGTATGGTGTAATTTCAATTCATATTGTTTCAATATCAACGGGTTGTTCTTCAAAATAGTAGTTGGTGTTTCCTTTTGCTTCTGATTGTTATTATGCTTCTGAGTTTTTTTTATGTTCCGACCATCTACATGTTTTTTTAACTTTGCACTGGCAAATATCACAAAATACTTCAATTTGATTATAGACTTTGCAAAATTCTGTCATTCTGGCATTGATTTCTTCCTTATGTTCTTCACGGTATTGTTTGCTTTGCTGATGTCTTTGTTCCTTATTCTTCTGGTGTTTTTCCCTTTCCTTTTCCATCCACCTTATACAATATTTATTTATTCCGTTGAATTCTTCAACTGATTTAGTTGCATTACATCTTTTGCAATACTGCTTCTCCACAATTTACTAAGGTAATTTACCTTTAAACCTATATCATACCCTAAATCCCAAATTCCAAATCCCAAATTCCATCAATATAATTTTCCAAATTCCCAAAATATAAATCCCCATAATTTCAAAACACAAATCTTACAATGTGTTTTATTGTAAGGTTCATGGGTTGAATTATAATTTAAGTTCAGGATAGTAAGTTAATTGATTACTATTAAATTGTATAAATTATACTTCTTTCATACATCATTTTAAAAATAATATTAATATCTCTAACTGTGTTTTATCATTAAACTTTTTACTTTCAATAAACAGTTTGACATTTTCTTTCACATCTTCTCCTTCTTTTTTTGGTACAACAACATCCATAATATGCGGTCAATCATTTCATATTTGTTCTTACTTATTTTAAGAAACTACTTGACATAATCATAAGGTGGGATATTGTAAACCGCAAGAACTATGAAGATGTCATCTTCAACATTTCTATTATTGGTTATTTTCAGATTTAAATGACATCTGATTAATTCCTGATTATATCTCCAATTTCTACAATTTTTACATTAATCTTCTATATCCATTGAATAGTTAATAGTATTATTGACTATTCCATTAGGTAAGTTCAATTTGTATAACTCCGAGTGTTACCTTCAGCGAGCGACTGGGATGCTTTGCTGATGGCCCCTGGAGAGAATGAGGTGTTTTTGAATTGTGAACGGCCCTTCTGCTTGAATTGTCACAGGATCAAACTGCTCAAAGCCACAAAGTCTGGCAAGCCCCTAGGAAGTGCTTCAGCTTGGTTCTCTTTGTTGCCAACGGGAGGTGTCTGTTTGATTGGGCGGGTTTGGTTAGAAAGATGGGTTCCACTGACTTAAATTGGTTTCATTCCCTTTCCCAGGGCCATCGATTGTTCCTGTGTGTTGCCCAGTTGTCCAGCAGATTCCGCCCTTTTTCCATTTTTTGGGGGAAGGGTCCCTCTTCAAACTCAATCAGCCAAGGATGCCCTTTTTGTCCTATGGCCACAGGGCATCTGAGAATGTCTTGAACAAAGATCGGGGCCTCGCCAACGAGCGAAATGTCCCCTGCGTAGTTCTGATCGACGTAGGCATCGCGGCTCTAGGTGCAAAACGGCGCGGAGGCGCTCGCCGGGGGCTTGGCTCTGGTCCAGGCCTGGGCTTCGTACGCCGAGTGCCGCTGTCCCTTTTAAGGGCCAATGTAGATGTTGTTACTGTTTTTTCCCAGACTTCAGGAAATTCTGATGGTTCTTGTGGATTCATGCTAGTGTTCTTTGGTTTCATTCTTCGCGTCCTTTGTTTCATCCCGGGGCACAGACATGGAGATTCAGAGTCCGCACTGCGCCGGGAATTCCGATGCAACACGGTTTGGAGTCTTCAGGCCAAAGTTTCTTTCACATGGCCAGGATTACATTGACTATGTTCTGGGACCGTGACGGTCAGCAGATTCATTTGGTTGCACATTGCAAGGAGCTCCCTGACTTGGGGATACGACGAGCTAGCTCAATGAAGGTCACCTACTTGAGGTTTCCTAGCGTTTTGCGTTTAAAGCTTAGGTCAAGAATCGAAGGGAAGGTGAGGCATTCGTAATTTGAGTGCACTTAGACACAGACATGCCCGCCTACCCACCCACCCACCCACTTACCCACCCACCCACCCACCCACCCACCCACCCACCCACTTACCCAGCCACCCACCCACCCACCCACCCACCCACCCCCACCCCCGCACCCACACCCACACCCACACCCACACCCACACCCACACCCACACCCACCCACACCCACACCCACACCCACACCCACACCACCCACCCACACCCGCACCCGCACCCACACCCACACCCACACCAACACACACACACCCACACCCACACCCACACCCACACCCACACGCACACCCACACCCACACCCACACCCACACCCACACCCACACCCACACCCACACACCCACCCATCCACCCACCCACCCACCCACCCGCCCACCCACCAACACCCACCCACCCACCTACTCACCCGGACGTCCAATTGGCGAATTCTTGAAAGTCACAGACATGGGAATGTGTCGAAACATGAACCCGTCCATTCTCTTAGGCCTCCAATCTAGGCAAACAGTTGGTGTGTTCATGGCTAAAGCTGTTTGCTTGGAGGTCTGGAATCTACTCAAAACCCGGGTGCCCTTTGAGATTCGATGATATATAATACACTTGCTTTTGGGGCTCATTTTGGTACTAAGATTGTGACTTAGTTGTCCCGTTGGCGAAGAAACCGCCCAGGCGCAGAGGAAAATGAGCGCCCCGGCAGCAGAGTACCAAACCGTTGCCTTCCGCATGGTTTGCAGCCCGAACGTCCAAAACCAAATTTCTTGTATCTTCGCTAAGGAGGTATCAAAAAATACCTTGCTGTGGATGGACGGTGGATGCCACCCAATTTGACAACTGGGACAAGCCACCTACCAACCGGTGCGGGATTTATGTCCATCTACAGTAGTTTCAGTTGGGTGAAAGTAGATGCTTGCTTTCTCCCTTTCATTTGTGTTGTCCCCTTGCCCCGTGGGGGGCACCCCAATAAAGGACATTGCCCGCACAGAGAGGGGGGAGGGGAAAGGAATCCACCCGCCGAAGCGCCGAGGCTTCGCTTCGGGTGCTACGAAGCCGAGGAGAAGGTTGCGCACGCTCCCGACCCGGTGCTCTTCCCATGGGGAAACGTGTCGCGAAGCGAGACATGAGGTCATGAGGTTTTGCCTTCATTGGTTCATTGTGTAGTATTGCTAGGATTCCCTCGACAAGGCTTTTCAACAGAGCACGGAGATATCAGCGGGCGTACAGCGATCCTTGGACAAGCCTTGGACAAGGAAAGGAGAAACGCGTGAGATAGCTCATAGAGAGATGATATCAATGCAAGATCGTTCATCCACCGCATAGACCCGTGTTTCACAGAAAGAGGGGCCCGGCCTTTTATCATTTGAGAGAGAACATGTTCGCCAGAAACCAGCTGGACGTGAGGAACACACACAGGGTTGCCGAATCCAAGAGCCCGGAGCACCTGTATCTCCATTCCTCCGTCCCTGAGTTCCTTGGCTTGTTCAAATCTTGGAAGACAGTTTCAGTGGACAAGTTTGGACTTGTTTGGTGAATCCACCGTGAAATTCTGGTCCCGGCCTGGGCTTGACTGACACCTTTTGCAACTTGCAGGGCCGGCCGCGTCGCCGATATCTGCTCAAGGCTCGGCCCAAAGACAGATGCCGGCATAGCCGGCGATGCCCGTAGACTGACAAGTCTTCTTTATATCCATATTATGATATGTGTTTTGATGCGAGTCTTCTTCCTTCGTGGCCGTCATTTTGGCAGTTGCAGAACGTCCTCGGCTTGGCCAAGAAGCACTGGACGTCGATGAGTTGTTGGCACCTGGAGGCGTCTAGCGGTTGTTCAGAACAGCGTCATATTGCAGGTGGCATATTGTTTGTAACGAAACTGATCCTGCGTAGGACTTGTAGTTTAGCACTGCTAAGCTGGTTTTAAACACAGATGCCCCAGGAGAAGCAAAGGCAGGCTGTCCACAATGGTCAGCGTTGAATGCCGTTTTACAGAAACTGGGCATCGATCCGTCGGTTGTGGGAGGAAAGATCAAGTGGATCCTCGGTCGAGTTTCATAGTATTCTTTTGATTTGCGGGGCTTTAGGTTTCATGTTGTTCTCATGCACAGATCTCAGATTCTACACTACCGTGATGAAACGCAGATTTGTCTCGCATGTCATTAATTTGCTTGCTGCGGGCGACCGGTGCTTGCCGGGAAAATAAGAGACTTGGACCAGTCCAGAGATCGAACATAGGGGTTTGTGAAGCTGCAACACTCTGCCAAAAGCTTGAAGCCAAGGACAGGGTGCGAAGTCACAGAAATCGACCTGGAGAGAGACTTGGATGTGAACGGGACCCTGGACGAAGAGATCGGAAAGCTTCCATCTTTGCGGCACTTCAGCCTCGCAGGCACCAAGACAGAAGGAAACTTGGACAGCTTCGCAAACAGCCCCCAGCTGCGGCGGCTGTACCTCTTCAACACACAGATCTCCGGGGACATCAGCAGCCTAGCAAACAGCTCCCAGCTGCAGAGGCTGTACCTCAGCAACACAGTGGTCTCCGGAAACATCAGCAGCCTAGCAAACAGCCCCCAGCTGCAGCAGCTGGACCTCGACAACACACAGGTCTCCGGTGACCTCCGCAGCCTAGCAAACAGCCCCCAGCTGCAGTGGCTGTCCCTCGACGACACCCACGTCTCCGGTGACATCAGCAGCCTAGCAAACAGCCCCCAGCTGCAGCAGCTGGACCTCGACAACACACAGGTCTCCGGTGACCTCCGCAGCCTAGCAAACCCCCAGCTGCAGTGGCTGTTCCTCAGCAACACACAGGTCTCCGGAGACATCCGCAGCCTGGCAAACAGCCCCCAGCTGCAAAAGCTGTACCTCACCAACACACACGTCTCCGGTGACATCAGCAGCCTAGCAAACAGCCCCCAGCTGCAGCAGCTGGACCTCGACAACACACAGGTCTCCGGTGACCTCCGCAGCCTAGCAAACAGCCCCCAGCTGCAGTGGCTGTCCCTCGACGACACCCACGTCTCCGGAGACATCCGCAGCCTAGCAAACAGCCCCCAGCTGCAAAAGCTGTACCTCACCAACACACACGTCTCCGGAGACATCCGCAGCCTAGCAAACAGCCCCCAGCTGCAGCAGCTGGACCTCGACAACACACAGGTCTCCGGTGACCTCCGCAGCCTGGCAAACAGCCCCCAGCTGCAGTGGCTGTCCCTCAGCAACACACAGGTCTCCGGAGACATCCGCAGCCTAGCAAACAGCTCCCAGCTGCAGTGGCTGTCCCTCAGCAACACACAGGTCTCCAGCTGCAGTGGCTGTTCCTCAGCAACACACAGGTCTTCGGTGACATCAGCAGCCTAGCAAACAGCTCCTGGCTGTGGCGGCTGGACCTGAGAAACACCCAGGTCTCCGGTGACCTCCGCAGCCTAGCAAACAGCCCCCAGCTGCAGTGGCTGTCCCTCGACGACACCCACGTCTCCGGTGACATCAGCAGCCTAGCAAACAGCCCCCAGCTGCAGCAGCTGGACCTCGACAACACACAGGTCTCCGGTGACCTCCGCAGCCTAGCAAACAGCCCCCAGCTGCAGTACTCCTCAGCAACACAGCACTGCACAGCTGGACCTCGACAACACACAGGTTCCGTGACCTCCGCAGCCTAGCAAACAGCCCCCAGCTGCAGTGGCTGTCCCTCGACGACACCCACGTCTCCGGTGACATCAGCAGCCTAGCAAACAGCCCCCAGCTGCAGCAGCTGGACCTCGACAACACACAGGTCTCCGGTGACCTCCGCAGCCTAGCAAACAGCCCCCAGCTGCAGTGTCTGCTCCTCAGCAACACACACGTCTCCGGTGACCTCCGCAGCCTAGCAAACAGCCCCCAGCTGCAGTGGCTGTTCCTCAGCAACACACAGGTCTCCGGAGACATCCGCAGCCTAGCAAACAGCCCCCAGCTGCAAAAGCTGTACCTCACCAACACACACGTCTCCGGTGACCTCCGCAGCCTAGCAAACAGCCCCCAGCTGCAGCAGCTGTTCCTCCGCAACACACAGGTCTCCGGTGACATCAGCAGCCTAGCAAACAGCCCCCAGCTGTGGCGGCTGGACCTGAGAAACACCCAGGTCTCCGGTGACATCAGCGGCCTAGCAAACAGCTTTCAGCTGCAAAAGCTGTACCTCGGCAACACACGGGTCTCCGGTGACATCAGCAGCCTAGCAAACAGCCCCCAGCTGCAGGTGCTGCTCCTTAGCAAGACACAGGTCTCCGGGGACATCGGCAGCCTGCAAGGCCTCAGGAAGATGACGGACCTCCATTTGTCCAACACCTCGGTCTTTGGTGACATCGGCGTCCTCACCGAGTGGCCAGAAATCGAGTCGGTGGACCTATCTCGCACAATGGCTACTGGGCGGCTTACAACTTCCTGGCGGGGCCGCTGTGCACTTCTGGGGTCCTTGAAGCTAAGCCACAGCCAGGTTGAATTCTTGCCGACTGCTGAGGATCAGATGGATTTTCAAATGATTCACACTCAAGAAGAGAACGCCATCTTCCCAAAGCTGAGGTTGCTGGACATATCTGGATGTGCTTTGCGGAGCAACGTCAAAGACATGTTGCAGCCTCTCTTGGCTTCTGGGGTTCTAGCCACCATCAAGGCTGACGGCTGCGGCCTCCTTGGAAGTCTTCCCCAGCTGGCTCACATGTCCCCTGTTGTTGACGGGGTCTCTTGGGCTTCTTGGGCTGCTCCTTTGGCGAGGTCCTTGGTGAGTCTGGATGTGTCGTCCAACGAAATGTCCTTCATCGAGGAGATCCCACAGAGTGTGCAGGCCCTGTTGCTAGCAGACAACCCGTCAGTAGCCTTTGCAGCCGGGGTTCTTGCCAAGGCTGTATCCGACGGGATATTCCTGGACTTGCAGAATGTCACTTTGGAGAACAAGACTGAATCTTGATTTCGATTTATGCCAAAATCTTCATCAGCATATGCGAATTGTTCCATCAACATTGTCCAATCATTTTCCCGACCATCGAGGGCACTTTTGGGTGCCCGTTCATCCCTGGGACTCACCTGCGTTCTAGATTCTAAAGCAAGCAACATATTACCCTTGAAACACTTCTGTTCGATTGTCTATCGCTGATCTTTCGAGACCTTCAGTCAATCCCTTTTCCGTGGACTCGTTGATCGCAGCAGATCGCAACCGAGGAGGCTCAAGAGCTCCTGGAGGGGGGTCAGCTCACCCGTACGGACAAGCGCTCCTCGGTGAGCGTCGAAGGTGGATTCGCATGTTTCGAGTTCACTTCAAAAGTGCAGATCACGCCGTCGCAGTTTCTGCCGAAGGAGTTGTGCAGCTGTTCTCCTGGCTTCAATGGTACGGGAGCGGACTGTAAGAAGTGCCCTTCGAACTACTTCAATGGAGAGTACAACGGATCTTGCCAGAAGTGTGAGGAAGGAAGCACTGCACCCGAAGGATCCACATCATGCATCTGCACCGTGGGCGAACGCTACAATGACAACGGCACGGAGCGCTGTGGATGTGTTACTGGGGAGGGCTCCAACCGGTCCAAAGATGGGAAGGATGAATGCCTGCCATGCTACAACTTCCATTTACGTTGCCCACACCCAGGCATGTTGCTATCCTCAGGCCTGCCGGAAGTTGGCCATGCCTAGCTTCAGGAGAAAGACACCACGGCACGTCCCTGTCTTCCCCCAAAAAACACCAGGTGCAACGTGTCCGCCAATGCTGCAAGCACTCTCGGCTGCGCAGGTGGCTACAGCGGCATTCTCTGCTCGGATTGCGCGGCAGGTTACTATGCCGCCGGCAATATGTGCGAAGTGTGTCCAAGCAGAGATGCCATGCCAGAGCTCTTGCACATCGCCATAGCTGCGGCCATTACTTTGACAGTAGCTTCAGTGTTGGCCTTGTGGCTACAGCAGAGAACGCCGGGAGAGGCAAAACTACCCGAAGCATCTGCGCTATCTGCGCTCAAAGAGCAGATCAAGGGGCAGGCGCCCATCCTATTGCAAACATGCCAGGTGTGGGCTGTTCTTGCCGTGCTTGCCAAAGCAGAACGAGAAGAACAAGCGCAGAGTTCAAC